GGTTCCCACTGCATGAGAGCCTTCGATGCTCTTGAGGACATCATGATAGCCACTCCCTCAGTGTGCTCGTGGTTGGCGTCTGGGTGACCGGAGTAGATTATTGATTCTCCAGTTGACAGTTTGGAGAGTCCACTCCCATTCCATCTGCTTTCGCAAATCCCAAGCACTTCGATGTTATACCTTCTCATCTCCCTTGCAATCTGGGCTGCCTTACTGGGTTCAAACATCGTGCGGACATTCCATGTCCCCACGTTTACTTTCGCTTTCATCGAGAGAAGACACATCGGCCAATTGGCTTCCCGAAGGCTTTCACCAACTGGCGTCATTTCGCCTCTCCGATTCCAGCGGGGAATAAGTTTGTTTTCATTTTTTATATTTTGTTTGTGCTTTGAAGTTTCTTTAGCGGTTAGATTTGTTTTACGGGGTAGGGTTGCTAGCCCTATGCCCAACCTTCCCTCTTTACCCGGGCTTAGGACCGGCTAGTAACTAGTAAACTAGTTAACCAGGCGAGGTTACATACACCGGTATACCTTAATGATAATAATAATAATTCACTTTATTCTAAACAATTTTCGGTACAATTTAGAATTCTCAGAGTGATATATATTGGTACAACAAAAAAATATATGAGTATATACTACCCATCATTACTATATATTCATACTCCTTTATAACACTCGACTTGTGTTACTATAATCATTTAAGTAGTGTAAAAAGTATTGAGGAGAAAATGAAAACACTTTACATTGTTAGTAACAGTATTCGAACAAGGTTGTTGACTATTTCAAACTTGTTATGTGATTTCTGTTCTAACAATTTTTTCCTCACAAAAAATGCTTGCTAGGTAAATTAAAGTCGAATTCTTGTACTTACCTGTACTAGTATACAGTCTTATGTAGTTACTTCTAGTCCTCCCTGAGAGGAAATACAAGGAGAGGGAACTTTTGAATGAAGCGGATGCTGAGTGTCAGTTAAAGTGACTGTAGCTAGTTGTTTACTGGAATTCAAACGTCTATCAACCACAGTGTTAATCAGTTGAACGAGAGGCACACCACTCACCCTACTACCTGACGGCTTTCAAAGCCCTACGCAACATAACATAGTCCTTTTTTGGAAGACCAGGAAAGATCAATGGAGAACAATAGAGAAGAATAGGTAAAATGCAGGAATTGATAAATTGTAAAAGTAGAAACTGACTTATACCAGACAGTCTCAGTTTCCTTATGTAATCACCTTAAATGAAAGATTTTCTTAGAAGTGAACAAGATATGAGACGACCAATAAAGATCAGAAGTGAAACCCAACCCAAGATAGTTACCACTCGATTTACTTTCTGCAGAAATACCATCAATACAACAGGTATCATGAGATTTAAGCAGCTCACACAAGTCCGTCTTGTTCACGTCTGAGGCTAAATTAGCAGTCTGATATTTACAAGAATTTAACTTGAGACCATTTGAGAGACCATTGGCCAACTACAGACAAGAATCCATTTAATTCAGTCCATTGTAAGTGAGAGCTAACTGGAATAGACACGGTCAGGTCATCCGCATACTCAATAAAGGTTGTTTCAACAGAATGAGGTAAGTCGTGCAAAAAAAAAGAAAACAGAAAAGGAGAAAGTACAGCACCTTGAGGCATACCAGCTTCAGTAAACAATGAAGTCGAGCACTTCCCTTTATAGATAGTATACTGTTTCCTTTCAGAAAAGTAAGAGTACAGCCACTTTGTAACCCAAGGCTTAGTATCAGCCATGGAAAGCTTATTGAACAAAAGTGGTCTAGGAACAGAGTCAAAGACTGATGAGTAATCCAAAAAAGCACAATGAACATGCTCAACACCTTTTTCGAGACTAGATACAATATTATGATGCAAGACAGTGACAGCATCTAAAGAACTTTTCCTGTGTTTGTAAGCAAACTGTTTCGGATCTCTGAAAAACCATCAATGAAGGCTCAATCACAAGGAGAAGTAATTTCTCCATTGTTTTCAGAAAAGGGGAAGTTATTGCAATGGGTCGAAATGTAACATCTGATCCAGAAGATGGCTTAGGCACAGGTACAATCTTGATCTTCTTCCAAGCAGTGGGTATTATGTTTTTAGAAAATGATACATTGAAGATATCTGGAAGGGGATGACATAAAATATCTGAACATTCTGTAAATATAATCCTAGAAACACCATCAAGATCTAAGCTTTGAGATGGATTCAAGGATTTTAGACATTTACATACACCATGTGTATTAAAACCTGGAAAGCAGCTATCCATTTGACTTTGGACATTGTGAAGGGTAAAATCAGCTCGCCGACGCGTGAATGACTTGTTTAACGCACAGACATCCGAACAAGCTCCTTCTGTTATCTGTTTTCTACCAGTAAGCCCCTTAACTTCCATATATTAGGAGAGTTCTTACACAATAGGAACTTCTGGTTGTAAATAGTATTCAGACATTGTATTACAGACTTAATTAGGTAGTTAAGTGTTTTAACGCCAAGGTGATCCCTCGTCTTATACAACCTTTTCTTCTCTCTCGGAAGCCTTTTGGGACGAGGAGAGGAAAATCTGTCAAATCTCATGTAGATTGTTTCATCTGGCCAGCAAATATCGAAACAGAATCTGAGATAGCTTGTGATAGTGTTGTCTTAAACTTCATCAGTAAATATATCCCATTCTGTTTCTGTAAGCATGCTTCTCAAACGTAATATATTCTCTTGTGAATAGCATATGTACTGCACTTTCTTGAAAAGGTATCCGAAAGCCTTCTTGTGTAATTCGCCGTACATTTTAGGTAAAACGAGTACAATACAATGGTCAGAATTATCAGATGAGCCCGTTTACGGGGTTCATATATGCCAGAGTTGTTCATAAATACTAAATCTAGTGTGTTGCCAAGACTAATCGAAAAGTTAGGTATATTTTCCTGACCCAATGATATTAGAAAACTGCAGTCTCAGACCATCGTTAAGGAGTTATCCAGAATAGGAGCAGTAAATCCTGTGAATTCATCAGCAAAAGTTGACAAATCTGAGAAACTGCAGTCAGGTGTGACATAAACGTTTGTAATGTATAAGTGTTCGTATTTACTTAAATATTTAGGACGATATTTCATGGTAATACATTCAATTTTTTCATTGCTACACCACCATAACATTTCTTCTTGGATAAGCTTTGATCCTGTCGAAATAATCTGAAACCATCTAAGCAGATTAAATCATCATCATCATACAAGTTGTGAAGCCATGTTTCCTGTAGCATTATTACACCCTCGTTTCGATAAACATTTGTGAACAGGAGTGACTGAAGGTAATCAACTTTCTTCTGTAATGACCTACAGTTTGTGTGAATTATTTCCTGGCTAGTCATTTGATCTATGGTCGTAAGCTTGAGAGTCCGTTGGCATCCACCGTAATGCTTCTTCTTAATTTGCCTACCAACTTGTAAAGCGATAGGTTGTGATAATTGTAAATATGCGTGACAGTGTATGATACGATTGGTTGACATAATTGAACGATTAAAACAATATAGAAAGGGGGAATTTGATGTAATATATTCTGTGATAAAAAGACGTAGCCCAGAGTTCAAGTAAGCTGCAGTAAAAAAAGGATGGTCAGTTTGCAAATGATTCACAAGTTGCATGGTCTACGTTGATATTTCTCACAGTTATCTAGTTTTTTAAATGCCCAACTTTTGTTTCAGCATGATTTTTATTGGGAATCATCCAGTCGAGACGGCATGGTTTGATACCTGGTCTAGTGGTGTCGTGAGGTAACGAAACATACTGGTGAACAACTTGAGTAGTTAGAATCCACTCAGAGTGATGTACAGTTTTTTCCATCGAACGACAATACAACTTATGAATTGAAATGAAAATATAGACATTCAAGAAACTTTGAATTTCTTGTATATGTAGTGATCATCTGCCTATGTTTGTTCAACATCAGAAATGAAGAAAAGCAGGAATCCCACGAGATTTGAGAAATCTTCTCATCTTGGCCAATATTGATATATCCCTCAGCTTCATTTGTCATCTAATTCCATCGCGTTAAAACGGGTCGAAAATCTGGTGTAAACCTTTTTGATCTAAACAATATAAACCTAGACCAGGATAATTTTATTTCCACGTCTATATGCTACTATCTATTCATTTCAGCGTATAATTCTTTTTCGCAATAATAAATGGTAAGTAGATTTTGCATAAATTTGAATACAGTTTCAATCATAGTGGTGGTGGTGGCGTTGGTTGGGTGGTATCATCATCACCTCTGTCTTCTCTACATTCACTTGAAGTCCCGTCTTCACTGGCCCGCCTCTTCGGTCAACTTGTTAGTTTTCGCCTGTGGATCTTCAAGTTTGTGTGACATCAGACACAAGTCATCATGGGAGAATTCCAAATCTTCTAGGATGTTTTCCGCGGTCCAGTGTATCCCCCTCTTCTCGCTCCTCACTGTTTGTTGCATGATCCAGTTCAGTCGACCACAATCAGGAATATCATGGGGGATAACAGGCAACCTTGTTTCACTCCTGTCTTCACTTCAAAGGCATCACTGAGCTCCCCATTGTGAATTAGTTGGCATGTGGTATCTTCATATTGTTGTTGAATGAGATTGATAAAGGTTTGTGGTATTATCACCAACATAATTCTACTTAAAATAGCATTATTCATTTGTACTACAGCCTTCATGGTAGTTAAAAAATGGAACTGACAATTTTATCCTTGAGGTAGGGAATTTCACTCTGATAGATGTCTCCGACAATAAATTCTAACATTTAGCATACTCTTAAACATTGTATATAGATAAAAACCTACTAATTATAAATATACTAGCCTCCAGTGGGAAACCATAGTATTTGCCTTGTCTTTAATGCTTCATACGGACTAAATCTCATCGTCCAATTTTTCAATGTGACTACCAATCTAAGTATTGTAACAGTTTAGTTTACTGTGTTTTGATATCTGGAGTCAGTCGGTAAGAAGTTTTGACTGACTTCCGTTTCATACTTGTTCAGTTTCATTAGAACGTCTTATACGTAACCAAGAAGGGACTGAAGGGTACACTTGTTTTCTCATACTTGTAAATTTGTCTTCCTGATATGCGTCAGCAACTGGCTAGCAATATCTAACACTCGAAATTTATATTCTGACAGACCGGGATGATAATTCTCTGGTTTTTCCTCAAATGATGATAACGTTCTTTTTTCGATAACTAACAATCAAAGGTTATTTTGTGATTGATGCCAATGAATACAACTTGTTCGCAAATGTATCAGAAGATGGTTGAGCCTAATCAACTATATGAGAATATTAGTGAACAGCTAATCTTGTCATTCGGACAGTCAATCATATAAGAAATGATAGTAAGTAAGGTAAGGTAATGTTAGTAAAAGAGTTTTAATTTCGAGAACACCAGAGACTGCAGTTTACTTGGTGGGTAGCTTGTTTCATTTTATGTGGGACTCGTTGGTTGAAGGTACCTGAACCCTAGAGGGTAATTACCAGTACTAAAAAATAACTAAAGACTGTTGTTGAATGTCGAGTTTATACCAATCGAAGTGATTTATGATAATGTCTTGATTCGTCACGGGAGTGCCACCAATTTCATGTTGTCTATCGATCATATTTGCAATATGACAACCAAGCTAGGAAGTTCAGCATCGCGTCCCGAATAGCTCAGTGGCAAAGTAGCTGATTACAACACTGGGTGATGCGGATTCGAATCTCAGGTGGGATATCAGTTCCGTCGAGGTTGAAGATAAGCCTTGCTGACGAGTGCCAGAAAGCAGGACTACCTGCCGATTGCCTCTGACCATCTAATATCTACTGAGGTCTAGCTCAATCCAGTTGGTCTCGTCCACGTCCCACACTTTCTAAATTATCCTATCCTTTGTTCGTGTTACAGAATATTTGTGCACGGTATTATTATTATTTGTCCCTTGGATTCCTTCCTTGTAGAAGATACGGCTTCAGCAGCACTTTACCATTTCATTCTCTGCTCATCAGTCTTTTCAACTTGGTTCAACCACTTCCTATAAGCTTTCATTTCTTCATCACACAATCTCCTGCATGTCACCCTTGGACGCCCAACTCATTTCCCATGCGGGTTCCACTCTATGGCCTGACGCGTGATTTTCCCAAATGGTCTCCTCAGTGTATGCCCAATCCATCTCCAGCTTGTTATTCTACATATTTGTTGGGCGATGGGTTCTTGGTTGGTTCTTTGCCGGAGTTCCCTGTTGCTTATTTTGTTCTCGCCCTCTATGGAGTCAGCTTAAGTGGCAGCTATTGATGATGTATGTCTTCAGTTTGTTGGAAATGGTTTTTGCAATGCGCCAAGTTGATCAATCATCACATGGAAGCACTGAATTGACTGACATAAATGTTTAAATTCCGGATCTCGTTGTTTTATGCTGAGTGCAGTGCAGTAGATCTCCACACTGATTTCAGGCTAATGAAGGCCTGTCTTGCTATGTTTGCGATGCTGGCTTTGACGTCCTCATCTTCGTCGCCGCCGCTGCCACCGCCCATAGTTGAGACGATGCTGCCTAGGTAGATGAAAGACTCAACTTCCTTCACATTTCTCCCCTTCATGGTGATTGGTGCTTGTTGTTGCTGCTGCTGCTGGTTGGGTATCTTCATCATCTCTGTCTTCTCCACCTTCACCCAAAGCAAGTCCAATCTTACTTGTCTCGCCACTTCGGCCAACTTGTTAGTTTTCGCCTGTACACCTCCGAGTTTGTGAAACATATGACATCAGACTTAAATCATCATGGGCGAAATGCAAATCGGGTAGGATCTTTTCATCGGTCAAACAGTGTATGCCCATCTTCTCGCTCCTCACAGTTTCTTGCATGATCCAGTCCAGTCCAGCTCAGTCGACCAAAATCAGGAAGATGATCAGTGATAGTAGGCGACAACCTTGTTTTGTCTTACTCCTGTCTTCACTTCGAAGGCATCAGTGAGCTTTCCATTATAAATCACTTGGCGTGTAGCATCATCATCATAATCATATAGCATATAGCTGTTGAATGAGGTTAATAAAGATTTGTGGCAGTGAAACCGTAGTGTTGAAGCAGCTGGTAAATTACTTCTTTGCCGATACCTAGATCAAATGTCTTTTCAGAGCGGATGAAATAGAGGTGAAGAGTTGACTGTCATTCTATGCTCTGTTCTATGATGATGATGCATGGCGTAGCGTTGCAATTTACTGAGTTTCCTTTTCGGATCTCTGAATATTGAAATTGTGTAATATCAACCAAGAGGTTTTGAAACGGGCTATACAATAACGTTACAATTTAGGTTATAAGTTGAAAGACTTTCAAAGTAATAAGACAACACGATCATCGATATTCATCTGAGATTTACATTTCCCACTTTCCAGCTGATATATTAGATGTCTCAAGATTACTTTGAGTTTTACCTACTTGTTGGTGGCCAGCATTGTTATCTGCTGTTCTGTGGATGTGATGTCTATAGCTCAGCCAGCTTGTAGACACTTCTGGTGTACATTCTCTTCGGATGGACAGAAATCGTCTTGTAATAATACTTGTAATTTCCCGTTGCTTTAAAAGGTCGAATTGCTCGATCTCAGTGGAAACAACACCACTCCACACTGCAGTGCTGATACATACAGCTGACCAGTGAGTCCAAAATAGAACGAAACATACATCCTGAATTCTTCTGCTACTCACTAACACCAATATCGTCTCTCACATATTAAACTGCTATCATACAACGCAAATATCACTTTCAATATGTGTACAGGTGTTACGAGAATCCCTCTGAGTATCTGTATCATTGTTGATGTTCACACTTGGACTTTCAATGTTACTCCTTGAGGACGTCTCTTCAACATATATATTGTATAGGAATTGGTTTCAGAAGGGTTGGATTGCATCAAACATGTTTCATAATGTTGTAAACTGTCAACAAACAAACACTTCATCGTGTTCATCAAGACGAACTCGTCTAGTATCTGTATAATTTATTATTTCGTGGTGATTAGTGAAGGGGGTTACTCTCCTCTTCATCTATCAATGTAACATGATTCATACTATCAGGCTTGTTGAATTCATTTCCACGTTCAATATATGCATGAATGAAGTATTTACTGAGAGTCATTTTGAAAATCTGAAGACTTATGGATGTAGATGCTGGCTGGATGTCAATCAATGAATATCAACATGGGATCAGGCATTACTGAGTAACGGTCCAACTTGCCACACCACATATCACACTGCATCAAGTAGAAAGGTAGTGATGTGAAGGATGAATATAAGAGAATGCAGTCAGAAGAGATATGAAGTATGAGAAGCAAGAAAGGAGGAATGACGAAATGGTGAGATTCGGCATAGTGTCGTTGAGATGAGGATAATGTGTGTGGGGATACATCTGCGCCAGTGACGTCGGTTCTCAGGCATGTGATTACAAAGAGTCTCCAACTACTGATTCCTCTTGTCGTGTGAACCTCAACCACCTAGTCTGCATCGTCCCACATGTCTGAAACCAACAGTCACAGACTTCATATATTGGTGCCATCTTTTAGTGTGGCCACCCGGGCCTTTTCCCAGTCTGGACCTACTTCGGCCAACATGGTTTGACGAGGCAATCTGTGACTAGGCATAAGTAGTACGTGTCTCAACCATCTCAATCAATGAAGGCTCATAACCTCGTAAACTGATTTACCTCTATTCCCCAATACTCTTACCTGACTTCTGCATTACTCACGTGGTGACACCACGGAATAAGGTGGCCTATACTACAAAGGCAAGGGTGGTCAAACACTTGAAGCCTTCTCATATCTTCCACTTTCGATGGCCATGTTTCACACCCATACAGGAGAACAGAGAGGACTGCTGTGCAGTACACACGACGCTTAATAGACAAACGGTGGAGCCATAGGTGGCGTAAATTGGCAAAAGCCAATCGAGCCTTTTGTATCCTTGCAGAGATTTCATCGGCAACTGACCCACCAGAGCTGATCCTACTTCCCAGGTAAGTGAAGTGGTCAACGCACTCAACCACTTCAATCTCTATTGTTAGCCGTGGCACCACTGAAGACCAGTCCTGGGGCAAAAACTTACATTTGGGTGGTGAGAACCGCATCCCAAACATTCTCAAATTGCCAGTCAAAGTGTTCAGAAGACTCTGCATCCTGTCAGTTGGATGTCAGCTGGCTGGATGTCACCTAGCATTTGATTAAATTTCTTAATAGTTCTGCATGTTGGCGGTTCCATTCTTTCTTCATAGCGTTGGAATTCTTCATTGGAAAATGTTTCCACTTATTTACCGGTTGGCAATTGCTACTTTGTTCTTCCTGACTACCTTAGAGTATCGCAGTCAGCTTTATTATTGTTGGACTAAGACAGTTATGATAAGAGAATGATTTTAAGTTGGTTTTCACTATGTACTGATATGATGTGGAGGAAGATTGTGAAGGTGGGAGCACTAGGCAGCTATTTCGTAGTAGTATAGCTTTACGCCTGATTAGTGAGCACCCATTACCCCACCCTGCCTGGGATCGACTCATGACCTTCAGGTCCCGTGGTCAGCACGTTGCTATTGAGTCACCGGGTGGGGATCCAGTGTCATCGTTGACTATTTCTCCTCACAACCACCAAGTTTTAGTTATGTTTGATACTAGTGGGAATTTTCATCAGACGTTTTTCAATTTATTCTTCTCATGTAGGCCTCATCATTTGAATGCACCTGTAGTCCAAGTATGTGATATTGTTTCGCCTAAGGCTTGAACCTAACATCTACTGGTTTACATAATTGATTCTATTTGTTCAAGCATTACTTGGTGTGACTCAGTACCTAGTGGATAATATCCTAGCACGTTCAAAACAAATCCCGGTGCGAACTACATCATGTGGATAAAAAGGTATCCAACTTACAAGAGTTACACCGACTTCTCATAGTAGGTTCACTGAACTTAATTTCTATGTTCTAATCAACCATATATTCCAAACGGCTGATAATGAATGAAGTTACAGTAGAAGTTTACATTAAGATAAAATGAAGGAATATGAGATGTTAATAACCTCGCCTGGTTAACTAGTTTACTAGTTACT